ACTCCGTACGAAGGGGTACTCCTGACCGGTTTCCAAACGGCACCCAATAAAATCCCAAGTGCCTGATTTATCATCGGTCCTTTTTAGGGTCAACATTCTCGGGTAACATTTCTCAAACGCCTTGCGAATACCATTAGCAATACCGATAGACTTTCTGTCCCCTTTCCGAAAAGAAAAAAAGACTAACACGTCATCTATTAGCCTCATCCCGGAGACCAATCCTCGGTCGTTGCCCAAAGATACAAAAAACCGCCACTCAGCATGTGCACACAAAATACATGCTAGTGGCGGGCTTGTACTTTTGCCCATCGGAATCCCAATCACCTGTCTAAGCAAAACATCAGTCGCACTGGTATAGGTATGTTGCAACTCAAATTGTACAAACGTCCTCAAATCACACACATCAACTGACCACCAACCCTCACCTTTCTTCAATCCAAAAGAATCACCCTTACCACGTGGATTTACTCTGATCGATTTCATCTCCGAAAAACAGCTAATGACCCAATCGAGAGATCGCAGGATCTTATCATGTGGTAGCCTGCTAAACATATCTTTTATGTCGTAGCAGGCGGCCAACACCCCACTATTCTTGTAAGCGTTTTTATTCTGACTGTTAACTCCCGATATTCTCAGCCAGTTGGCTAACAGCAGGTAAATAAAAGTATCATGATTTCGGAATTGAGTTCAGTAGCAGATTCAAGGCCTTGGAGACCTTTTTGCAGATCTTGATAGTTGGTTCTTCGAAAGTAGGACAAATAGGGCGAAATCTAGAGAAGTACTTATGCTTTGGCATTACATAGGTTTTCCCGGATTTCCCCCGTGTGTCCCATTTCCCCAATTTGGTCAACCCAACCCTAGTAAAATCAGCACGCGCCTTCTTCCATATTTCCTCTTCTCCCTCTTGGCAAACGACATACCCCGTGCTTCGAACAAACAAATCACACATAGCTACATAGTACAAATAAGGGCACATCACAACAATTTCCCCTGGATTGCGATCCACTGGGGTCCTGACCAGCTCGGAAAACCGGCGCTTAACTTCTAGGACTTCCTCCGTTAGTATATTGTTACCTGCTAANAAAAAAAAAAAAAAAAACCATCCCTCGAAACAATAGCAACAGTCGGCTACACCAAAACATCCATTTCCAAACATCATTAAAAAAATTCACCGTTCGAAAGGTAAAAAAAAAAAGGCGCTGTGAAGCGCATGCGAAACAGCGAGCTCACGAACCTCTTCGTGCCAGCCCTCGACTACGACTCCCGTCTACGACACCCCCCCCCCCAACCCACCCACCCCCCTTCAACAAGGACTGAACCCATTGACAACTCCACGGCATTGCGCGGGAAAACCAACTTCTCGCCCACGACGACAATGAAGACCCAAAATACGAAAAAGACGACCGCAGAGGACGAATACTACATCAGCGATCCCGTCGCACTCCCACTGCGCGACGTACTAGACCTATACAGCGTCGTGGAATACAAGAACAAACATCTGAAAAGAACCCGACCGCGACGGTAGACCCTCACTAGTGATCGCGCGCGTGAGCGAAAGACGAAAGAGTTGTTGGCCGACTATGGCGGGACAAGACCTGAACGGGACGAACAGGTAGGCGACTGGCTGGATCAAACATGTTTCATCCGCTGCGCCAGTGCATTGCGGAGCGCATGAGCCTCGCGCGTCGAAGTCAACATGGACACTGGCTGCGGGGGGCGATGAATCCCCAGGTCCACTCGCCGCCTCACCCCGTTCGCGTCGACCTCCCACAACAAATTCTCGTCGAACTCGATTCCTGCATCGAGCAGGATGTTGTGGAAAATGCCCCTCCACGGCCCCTCTTGCGACCTTCTGCTTCGTGTCGAACCTTTCCTCGTCCGGGTGCTGATTGATTCCTCCGTACGGCACCACCACCCACTCAGAAGGAGGATACCCGTTGTCGCCCAAGATGTATCCGTTCGCCGTCACCCCTCCCGGCAGCGTCACAGGCGGCCCACGAAACAGCAATCCCTCTTCCGCGTGCCTCGACAGACTTGACAGCTGGATCACCCTAATGTCGTGGCAGCTACCCGGATATCCCACGAACGCATCAAGGACGCGCAGATTCAGGTCCACCACGACCTGCGCAATGAAGAAAAAACGGTGCTTGCGGTCGAAGTAGTTCTCGCTCGGCGCGTTCGCCGGTTTGTCCACGTAGATGTGTGTGCAGTCAACTGCGCCATGGCAGTTTGGAAAGCCCTTGTCCAAAAATGCCCGTATCACGACTTGTTTCCGCACCCCCGTCGGCCACGATATCTTCTCCCCATACACCCTCAAAATAGCGGCTGTCACATCGCGCAGGGCTCGAATTTCGGAAGTCCTGCCCATGTCGAAGGATGATGTGCTGTTATCGTAAGACTCTCCTGTGGCCCACCTATACAGCGCGTACGCGACGATCTGCTCCGGCTGTAGTGGCTCCCTGTAAAACGTCACCTGCCGCTGCACATGAGGCGCACATGCTTCGCTGATATCCATGAACACTCTCCTGGACATATGGAGCTTTTCCCGGAAGTAGTCGTCTGTCGCGTCATCACACACTCGTACTGTGTAACCGGTTGAACGCGCCGAGCACGCGTTTACGTTCAAACGCGCGCGCTCATACCCCGCGCGGCCCCGTTCAATCGCGTTCAAACGCGCTGCGCGCCACGTGGCGCGTAAAAAGTGAACGCGACCTCGCGCCCTGCATGCGCACGTCGCGGACTACGGGGTGGCGACACTCGTGCAAAAAACCCTTAAAGTGAAAAAACTTTCCCCGAAGTMCCCCCCCCCCCCCCCCCGCCACAGGTATGGCGTCACCCCCACCATTGTGTGTGTGTGAATGTGTGTGTGTGTGTGTGTATGAATGCTCCTTTTTTTTCTGGAGTGTAGGGGAAACCCCCTAAGACAGCTAAGACGGCCCATGCAGACTGTCTGAGGGGTCCTTGCAGCCATGTGGTGCAGACCCCCCCACCAAAATCGAGGCAGTCAGTGTGTATGAAACAGAGCACGAGCTGGCCGAATATATGCTCAGGATTCAACTTCAGGTCTGTGTTTCAGCAGTTATGGGTTGCTCACATAGCTAGGCTGTGTTGGTCGCTGCACGTGATTATCAGGGCTTGGCTGCACTACTCACCAAATGTGCAAAACTAGAATGAATCTACTGCAGAACATGGAATAATACGCCGCCATATGTTTTGTCTGTTGTGCATGTGCTGAGTAGAGGCCCCACTGCACGTATTCCTAAGAAAAAAGAAAAAGGAGAAAAAAAGAAAAACAAGAAAAAAGAAAAACAAGAAAAAAGAAAAACAAAACAAAAGAATGAATCTTCCACAAAACATGGAATAGTACGCCGCCATATTTTTTGTCTGTTGTGCATATGCTGAGTAGAGGCCCCACTGCACGTATTCCTAAGAAAAAAGAAAAAGGAGGGAAAAAAAAAAAAACAAGAAAAAAAAAAACAGAAAAAAAGAATGAATCTTCTGCATGCTGAAACACAGACCTGAACTTAGATCCTGAGCATATATTCGGCCAGCTCGTGCTCTCCTTCATACTGGCTGCCTGCTTCGATTTGGGAGGGTGAGTCTGAGCCATATGACTGCGAGGACCCCTAAGACAGCCTGCATGGGCTATCTGAGCTGTGTTAGGGGGTTTCCCCGACCCCCTTGAAAAAAAAGGAGTACTTTTTTTTTTTTTTTTTTGGTTTAGCCGACGACGACCTCGCCCAAAGGCTCCCAATCACCGCCGACACTCCCATAGCCTCACAGGCACCTCCCCACCTGCGACAACCCCCCTGTGCAAACGCGTCAATCGCGTTCAGGCGCGTTCACTTCATTCATAAACTGAACACGGAACGCGCGTTCAATGAACGCGCGGTAACATAGCGCCCGTAAATCCTCCCAAGTTCCGCTAGCTCTCCACCACATCCACCAACGTGGCGTCGCCCGAGGAAGCAAATCGCACCCGATTGCAGCACACAGTTGAACCACGGCTTGGGATGTGGTGATGCAGTCCGGGGCGTCCAACACCCTTTGCAGCAGTAGCCTCTGCCGCCGCCTCGAAAGCGCTGCCTTCATGCGCCCGACCGCACTCTCGATTTGGAAACGACGGACAACAGCAACCGCAGCCGCCGCGACAGCTGTCTTCTCCGTCGTCGACAGCACAATAGGTCCATCGCCATCGCAGCCGTCCATCACGTCCTTCGAAGACAAAAAACGACGTCCACCGCCGCCCACCTCCGTGCACCTCTGCCGCCACGTTTGAAGACGCCTGCAACCACGTCAGGAAGACAGCCCGGCCCAACGACGCGATTCCGATTGGAGCGTCCACCCACCGCCGCGATTCCGATTGGAGCGTCCACCCACCATCGCTGAAGAGCAGGACCGCCGTGGCGCCTGCGACTGCCTACCGGACGTCTTCGTTTCGCCGCGTCGACCACACTTGATGCACTGGCGGTGCGGCGCCGCTGAAATGCGCAACGCGATGTACAGGTTGCAACGTAGGAGCCAATCTTCTAATTTGTTCATTGGCTAGTCGATTCCAGTTGGTAGGCGGGATGAAAAGGAGACGTTTAAGGCATTCAATCAATAAAGTCATAAGCTTGTGTATTAGGGTCGATAATTCCAAATCCTCCTTTCGTTTGGGGATGGATTACCGTCAGCCATACCACTCTATTGATAACTTTATGACATTCATGATCCCCTCGCCACAGGATGTTCCAAGTTGATGTTAGAACCCTCTAAACCACCACTACCTTTCCAGGGTGTAGTCCCATTTGGGAAAATGACCTCATCCGAAAAGTTTGGGGGTCTGGCGTTGGGTCGACGTGAAAGGGAAAGAAAAGAAAACATCGGGACCCTGTTGGCCCGTGGTATGGGAAAAAACAAAAACTCTACGGACTCTGAATCGAAGACGTCAAGGAAGGCCCTCACGTAGGTGGAAGTCTCACCAGACTGAGGGCGTCGTTCCACACACATCAGGGCGTCCTCGGGCTCCGAGGACGAATCCTCGGAGTAATTTTTGATTTTCGGAGGTGTCGTTCCACCTGTCCTCGGAGGATTGCCCCGAGGACGAATCCTCGGGGCCCTCCCGCGGCCAGTTTAATTAGATTATACACAGCTGCAAGAGGAATGTCCGGCCTCCGATTCGGGATGTCCATGTAGAGGCGTGGTGGTCCAAAAGGCGGACGGCGAGAAAACGTCACGGACCCTTGGAAAAAAAATCGCCAACGCGGGAAAATCCCCTTTCGAAATTCGAATTTCCAATTTTGGTCTTGCGGAGCGACGTGGTGGCGGGGCACAGGCGGGTCGGCCAGGGGGCAGCCTACGCCGCGCAGGGTTTCGTTTGCCATCGCCCAGGACAAGTATGGATTTGTACTTCCTGTAGTCGTACGCTACTTGTACGCTGGGGGTTCCGTACAAGGTTTTTTTTTTTTTTTTTTTTTTTTTTTTGCCCTGCATGTTGGACTTGGATAGTGTAAGTGCAGTAAAAAAACCCAAAAGCCGCATGACGAAACATGTTCGGGGGAGTGGTATGACGTAAAAATGCCCCCAAATAGTACCCTGTTGAGCCGCACTTCAGTTTGGGGAAGTGGTAAGGTGTAAAAGTGCCAAAAACTACAACACCTATGCATATTGCTGCTTTGGCAAGCATTAAAAAAAAAAAAAAAAAAAAAAAAAAAAAAAAAAAAAGCTTGCCACAAAAGAGTAACCAGTCTGGTACCAAAAAAAAAAAATAGGGCTAAAATAAAAAAAAGTAAAAAAAAAAAAAAAAAAAAAAAAAAAACACATCAAGGGTAGGCAACTACTGATCAGGCTGTAGGAACCGCTATCCAATTGGATTGCCCATTTCGATGGCTCCTTGCTTCTACAACAAGAGGTTAGAAACCGAAGTCTCAACAGACAGCAGTTCTCGTGAGTTCTTGACAAATAGATATGACAAAGTGACGTTTTTACGACACAGGTAG